TAGCCAAGAAGAATAGGGTTTATTCCAAAAGCTACAATACCAGTTTCGCTACAAGTAACAAATCAGCAAATTAATAAAGGAAGCTCCAAAAATTGTGGAGTCAATAACTACTATAAAGAAAATGACACAAAAGAAATTGGAGGAGAGAAGAATGAAAGGATTATGTTATGGATGTGACGAGAGATATTTCAGAGGTCGTGTTTGCAAGAAGAAGCAACTCTTTATGCTCGAAGATGAGGATGAGGAGGATGTCTTTGAGAATGTGGTGCAGGACATGGACAAAGAAAATGTGCAAGAAGAATTGCAAATCTCAGTTCATGCCTTTTCAAGTTCTTTCTCTTATAAGACTATGAGAATTAAGGGAAAGGTTAAGAAGAATATGGTCACTATATTAATTGATTCCGGTAGTACCCAAAATTTTTTGGACCTAATAATGGCAAATCGAACTGGAGCTTCAAACCAATTCACCAATCCTTTAATAGTGGTGGTAGCTGATGGTACCAAGTTACAAAGCAATGCTATGGTGAAGGATTTCCAATGGGTTATGCAGGGTACAACTTTTACAGCTGACATGAGATTATTACCTTTAGGGGGTTGTGACATGGTATTGGGAGTCCCGTGGTTATCTACTTTGGGACCGTGTTATGGGATTTCCAAAATTTGAGGATGGAATTCACTACATTTGGCAAAAAACATGTGTTGCGAGGTGGTGCAACAGTAGAGATACAACAAATTGAAGTTAAGGCAATGGAGAAGTCGATGCAGAAAAAACCACAAGGAATCATAGCTCACCTTTGCAGCCTACATTCCAATTATGCTGAAGTTGACCACGAGGTTCATTCGGATCTTGATAAAATCTTACATGATTATGCTGATGTGTTTTAGGAACCCAATGACTTACCTCCAATTAGATCACATGATCACAAAATACCTCTCAAGGATGGTAGTCATCCCCCAAATATTAGGCCTTATAGATACCCTTATATTCAGAAGAATGAGATTAAGAAAATAGTAAAAGAGATGCTGACTTTAGGGGTTATTAGGCATAGTGTGTCTTCTTTTTCTTCACCAATCCTTTTGGTCAAGAAAAAGGATAACACTTGGCGAATGTGTATTGACTACAGAGCTTTACATAAGGACACTATCAAGGATAAATACCCTATTCCCATGATTGATGAATTACTTGATGAGTTGCATGGAGCTCAATTCTGCTCTAAGCTGGATTTAAGATCTGGGTACCATCAAATATGGATGCATGCTCCTGACATTGAAAAAATAGCTTTTCGAACGCATGGAGGCCATTATGAGTTTTTGGTCATGCCATTTGGCTTGACCAATGCTCCATCCACCTTTCAAAGTCTAATGAATGATGTTTTTAGGCCATTTTTTAGGAAGTTTGTGTTAGTATTTTTTGATGATATCCTCGTATACAATAAGAGCTGGGCTGAACATATGTCTCATGTGACCTTGACCTTGGAAAAATTGAGAATTCATCAACTATATGCCAAGATGTCGAAATGTGCTTTTGGGAAGCAGCAAGTGGAGTATTTGGGGCATATTATTTCTGGTTCTGGTGTGGCTGCAGACCCCGTTAAACTAGATGCTATGTCCACTTGGCCTAGACCTCAATCTTTGAAAGCTCTTCGAGGATTTTTGGGTTTGACTGGCTATTACTGACGGTTCATAAAAGACTATAGCAAGATCAGCAAACCCCTTACTATATTACTCAAAAAGGATGCCTTTAAATGGTCTAAGGATGCTGAACAAGCTTTCGTCGTATTGAAAAGAACTATGACTACTGCTCTTGTATTGGCTTTACCCAATTATGACAAACCTTTGTGCTGGAATGTGACACTTCTGATAAGGGGTTGGGAGCTATATTTATACAGGAGGGACAACCCATAGCCTATTTTAGTAAGTCATTGTCTGCTAGAAGCTTTGGGTTATCTACATATGAGAAGGAATTCTTGGTTGTAGTTCCAGCTATTACCAAATGGAGGCATTACCTTTTGGGTAGGCATTTCCACATTCAAACAGATCACCAAAGCCTCAAATTCTTGCTGAAGCAGAGAATTAGCACTCTCATGCAACAAAAATGGCTTTCCAAACTCATGGGTTTTGATTACGAAATTGTATACCGGAGTGGCAAATCTAATCACGCTGCAGATGCCTTGTCCAAAAAAGGCAAGGAAGATGTCTTATTGCTGCATGACCAAATGAGCAGTATGTTAGCTCTCTCCGTTGTCCTTTGCCATTAGGTTAAGGATCTTTGAACCAGTTGGGAACAAGACCCTTCTATCCAATAACTTATCGTAGATTTGACTTAGAATCCAACCAGTCATCCTTGTTTTCTTTGGTAGCATCAAATGCTCTATTACAAAACCAGATTGGTGGTGGGTAATTCACCTCAGCTAAAAACCACATGCATCAAGGAACATCATGCAACTCCCACAGGTGGACATTTAAGAGGGAAGAGAACTTATAGAAGAATCAAACAAGGCTTTTATTAGAAAGGCCTCAAGTTTGATGTACTTAAGTTTGTGGCTGAATGTGACGTTTGTCAGAGGAATAAGTATGAAACAGTGGCAACACCTACGTTGTTACAGCGCCTTCCCATTCCTACTAAGCTTTGAAGTGATATTTCGATGGATTTCATTGAAGGATTACCCATCTCTTCCCACAAAACTGTGATCTATGTGGTTGTGGACAGGCCTAGTAAATATGCTCACTTCATTTCCTTAACCCATCTATATACTGCTACTGCAGTAGCTCAAGCATTCTTAGATAATGAGTTTAAACTTCATGGGATGCCTTTTTCTATTGTTTCAGACCGAAACCCTGTGTTTATTAGTAAATTTTGGAAGGAATTATTTCGATTGCAGGGCACTAGCTTGTGTATAGGTCCTTTTTATCACCCCTAAACAAATGGCCAAACGAAAGTAGTTAATAGATACCTTGAGGGGTACTTGAGATGCTTAGCGGGAAATAGACCTACTGTATGGACCAAATGGCTATCTTTGGCTGAATGGTGGTATAACACTACTTACCATGTCACTACGGGAGTCACACCATATGAGGCCTTATATGGTCAACCCTCTCCCAGTTTGCACCACTATATTCCAGAGAATACTGATGTGGCAGTTGCTGATACTCTGTTGCAAGATAGAGATGCTATTTTGAAGTTGTTGAAGGAGCATCTAGTTCAGTCCCAACATCGAATGAAACAAGAAGCAGATAAGCACAAGTCTAAGCGAGTTTTTTCTGTTGGGGATTGGGTTTTCCTTAAACTTCAGCCTTTCAAGCAAGTTTTCCTAGCATTACGGAAGAATGCTAAACTAGCTCCCAGGTACTTTGGTTCCTTTCAAATTCTGCAGAAGTTGGGACCTATTGCCTAAAAATTAGATTTTCCATCTTTCTTCAAGCTACATCCAGTGTTCCATGTCTCCTTATTGAAGCCTAAACTGGGTCAAGGTATTGCTGTGCAACCTTTCCTTCTACTTACCAGTCCTGATGGGCAGCTACAATTAGAACCTATTGCGATTTTGAATAGGAAACTGATCAAGATGCATGGTAGGCCTATTACCATGGTTTTGGTCCATTGGTCTAATTCTATTCCTGAGGATGCCACCTGGGAGACTTGGTACTCCTTGCAGCAATGTTTTCCTCATTTTCAACCTTGAGGTCAAGCTTCCTGGAATGATAGGATTTGTTCTGTTAGGTAGTTGTGGACCGTTATTCTGTTACGGGATCTGTTATAGGAAAGGGGGATTATATATAGGGGAGTGAGTTACAGATGGGGGAGGGTTAGTTGTATCTGTTCCTTTCTTCTTTTTCTTTTTCTCTCTTGTTGTAAAACTCCATGGAAGAGTTCTTCCTTTCGTTTGATGAGAATTAAATAACAAAAGCTGAGTTTTTCTTTTCTAATTTTTGAGATTATTTGCTAGAAGCTTATCAGAGAGAGAGAGAGAGAGAGCTCCATACTTGATATATGGTTGGAGAGAATGCCTTATTATCTTGTTGTTGGAAATCAAGGGTAGTGCAGAGATTCAACAATGGAACCCAATAGAGGCTGGTAGTTGTTGCTGGAAAATCAAGGATTACACATTGAACCTTACACAAATTGAAGAGAGCAGAGGAATAGAACAAGAGGAAGAGAAGAAAAAGAGAGTTGCCGAGAGAAGAGAGAGAGAGAGTCGAAAGGGTTAACCGGGCTGATTTCCCTGACTATGGCATTCTCAAAAGTTTAGTCCCACTGTAGGGTGTGATTTTTACTTTATTCCCATTATAGGGTAAACCGGCTTTACCAATGCTGTTTTCTAAAAAACAGCTTTACCAATGCCATTTTTGGTGAATAAAAAATTAATAAAATTTTCCTACACAAAAACGACTTTTGAAAAGCCATTTTTACTTAACGTGTTATTAATTTTGACTTAATGAAAAACGGTTTTCATAAAATCGTTTTTTTGTAATATTTTTTTCTCAATTTGTATTTTCAACATAAATATTGTTTCTGAAAATAAATTTATTTCATAAAATGGTTTTGTGAAAAACGTTTTGTAATACGGCTTTACAAAAACCATTTTATAATAGGCGTTGGCTTCTGTTTAGTCCTTAATCGGACTGGATCATGTTTAGCCCACCACGGGTCCCATTTTGATAATCTGAACCGTTCAATGTGTAGAACTCGTCGAGTACTATAAGGCTGTAAAAAATCACTTTAATCGGATATCGGTAGCTATGTGATCAAATCAGATTTTTGTCAACCGTTAATTTATTCACCGTCTATTTTTTTTATACAAAACTGATTTGATTACATAGCTATCGATATCCGATTAACGTGATTTTTTATAAGTTTATAGTACTTGACGAGTTCTACACATTGAGCGATTCAGATTATCAAAACAGGACCCGTGGTAACTCCACGGATCCAACAGTACGATCCAATCCGATTAAGGACTGGACAGAGGCAAAGCCCTTAGCAATAAACATTTTCCTGGTCTTTACAAAAGCAACCAAACGAAGAGCAGAACTCCGACACAGTTTCCACTCCACTCCAACGCAGTTCACTTTGTTACTCGCCAGAACTCAAAAGGAAGACCGACGACGAAGAGCAACCAAACGAAGAACGGGCAACGCAACACCACCGACGAGGAAGACCTTCAGCAAACATCCACATTGAGGTTTGTATTGCATAAATGAGGGTTTTCATTTGAGATTTGGAAATTAGGGATTACTGAAACTAGGGTTTTGAAATGGATAAAATTTTGGTATTCGTAAGCTATGTTTTGCAGGAAAGATCTAGTTTCATCAATGTTGAACAAATTCTTCTGTCAAAAAATTTTTACAAAATAATTTTTCATATTTTGTATTTTATTTTAAATGGTTGTCATTAAATTCATTTCTGTCGAAATGAATTTGTATTCGTTTGTCATGAAATGGTTGTCATTATAATCGTTTGTCAAAGATGTACAGAATTTTTGTTTCCAATAAATTTTTTCTTTCATATTTTGTATTTTATTTGAAATGTGGGCATTAATTTATTTTCTTTGCAAATGATTTTATTTCCATTTTCATTGTAATGAAGGTAAAAAGTGAAATAAAATTTGTTGTGTTTATGTTTTGAGAGGGCAAAATAAATTTGAATATATAGAGTGTAATGAAGGTAGAGTTTGCATATGTATAGGTTTGAATATATAGAGTTGATATAGAGTTGATATAGTGTTAGAAACCTATCTTGTGTATGTATAGGTTTGAATATGTACGTTGAAGATTATATAGAGTTTCATAATTTCGGCTTTGTATGAGGCATCATAATCAAATGTCATATACTAACAGTTCAAGCATGGAAATATGTTTCCCAAATGTGGTTCCTTTATTATTTTGAAAATATTGAGTTAGTTTGAATGCAAAGTGTAGGTATGAAAGTTCTGAGCATTATGTTCTATTGGGGGGGGGGAATATTTTGCGAAATCGTGAGGAAGGTGTGTCGTACGACACCGAACCACAGGGGTTGTATAATGTGCATAGGGGGATAACATTGGGTGAGTTGGAGGCTATGATGGTGCCGAAGGTCGGTACATACAGGGAAATAATGCAATTAAAGTTTAAATGTAGACTCCCATGTCAGGGGAAGTATAGGCTGCTACCGATCAACGATAATGAGACCTTAACTAATGTGTTAGAGCTCACACAGAAATTAGGTTCATATTTTTTGTTGGAAATCTATGTGGAGAAAGAGAGTAGTTTTGGTGGCACACATTGGTGGCACAGAGATGTCAATTTCGGTGGGTGGGACATTCACGCAGATGTTGACACAATCGCAATCCCCTGACAATACAGTTATACAGTCTGCACACATGTTCCCTCAAGATTACCCGCCATTCAATTATTCTGAGGGTTACACGAAATTTAATGCATCAGAGAACCTAGATGTTTATTACAGTGCCGAAGCAGATCCAATTCGTACAACAGAGACAACTGCCCAAATTTATGCATCCTCTGATGATACAGTGCCATTTGATGATGAGGCTGGAGTAAGTGATGAAGATTCCATGGAAGATTTTGATGGCTTAAGGGAAGGTGAAGACATTGACTCTGGTGATGACGAAGTTGGAGGGCATGATGATATGCAGGACATACTCCCACATATCCATATCCCTTTCTACCATAATGGGAATTTCGACAATGTGGGTTCCGTCACTAGCCGCAATGTTGTCGAACGTTGGCCATTGTGGGACTCTGAAACTGCTCATTTGGAGACAAGAATGATCTTTACTGATAAGAAAAGCTTAGTGGACGCTGTTCAGTTGTATAACCTGAAGCGTAATCAAGAATGCAAGGTCGTAGAATGCAAGTTCAGAATTGCATGCACCTCCCTCACTTGTGTACTTCCCTACCAACATGAACAACCTAAAACTCATATTAGTCGAAACTGACAACAATCAGCCTATCCTTGAAGAACCCAAGTGCTACTCATTGCCAACAAAAAAAATAAAAGGTTCAAATAAGAATAAATTATTATTTTTCATGGTTTTAGAGCAACACTTGAAACTATTGAGTGACCTTTCACTACTTCTTGGCCAAAATATAGCAAAAAATATTAAGTGATATAAGTTTCAACCAAAACGAACACAATTTGGCCAATAGCTAGATCGTGCAGTTAATATTAAAGTTCCCCAAGTTCCTCCAATTAGGGGGCTCATACAGTCCAGTCAGAATCTGTAGAATAGATAACACTTACAAACTTATGTTGCTTGGGGTTCTTCCAATACTAAGGGTACTAAAGTTGAAATACAATCTCAAACCGGGCATGAGAATGAGTCACCTGCTAATATCTGGAGTTCTAATAAAAACGGTGAGTCCAATGGTAGCAAGGAGTGTGCTGTTGACAAAAAAATAGTATTTGGGAGACGACACGACGTCAAAGGCAAGTGGTTGGGGGTCCAGTAGAGGGGGTCGAGGTTCTTCGAGTGAAAAGAACCAGGGTAAAGTTGAATTACAGTCGCAAACAGGATGGCAGAAAGATTGATTAGGCGATTCCTAGAAGAAGTCGAGTAAGAATGATGACCACATTGATGGGAAGGAACGAGGGGGTTGGCAGAAAACAGAATTTGGGAACTGGAGAAACAATCTCAAAGTCAAGTGGTTGGTCTAGTTGGGAGGGTAATGCAGTTCAGACAGATGACGTGCCCTCTTCAACGGCACAGAAAACAGAACAGGTAGCTCAGTCAAGAGCTTCCCTTAACTAAGCTTCTTCAAATAGTGATGGTCTGGATACAGAATTTCAATATCTGAAACTCAAGAAGATAGAGTCACCATTCAATTCCGGGAAGTCCAATGAGGAGGACGACTCTGGTAAGGAAGTTGGAGTTGACAGAAAACTAAACTTGAGGACTGGAGAAACAAGCTCAAAGCCAAGTGGTTGGTCTAGTTGGGGTAATAAAGTTCAGACAGACGAAGTTCTCACAATAAAGGCACAACAAATGTGAATGTGCAGCCCCATTAAAAACTTCCCTTCACTGTGCCTCTCCATCAGGACAGTAATAAGAGTCACCATTCAATTCCTGGAATTCCAGTCCGAATGAGGATCACAGTGATGGGAAGTCAAGCAATGGGGGGTTCACAAAAAACAACATTTGGGGACTGAAAAAATAATCTCAAAGGCAAGTGGACGGTTCGCTAACAACGCAGTTCTGGGAAGGACTGGGTGTTTGACAAAAAGCAAAAATTGGGGGCTGAAATGTAAGGCAAAGTCGGTCGTTCGGTAAGGGGGCCAATACAGCACACACAGAGGATAAACTCTCTACTAGACCACAAGAAGCATAACACCTATCTCAGTCCAAAACAACTGTTGCTTGGGGTTCAGGGGATGAGGGCCAAGGTACATTACAACTACAATCTCAGACATTACCGCATAAACAATCTGCTGTAAATGTCTGGAGGCCCAACAAAACCTAATTTTAAACTTTAAATTCCCCAATCAAAAATGCAAATCCTAATTTTTTCAAAACAAACCTCAATGTCAATGATGGAAGGGAGAGGTGCGACCATGTTTTGAGGTCTTTGTCTTCTTCGTTCTTACTACAACTCTCACGGTGGCCTTCGTCTTCTTGGCCTCCTCTGCGGTGCTCTTCGCGTCTCTCTCTTCTTTGCCTCCTTCGCGGTGCTAACGTTGAATGCAGAGTGTGTGTTTCGGACTGACCATACTAGTTTTATGCCAAAACAAAACCCTAAAAAAAATTACTAAAAATGGTTTTAGAAAAGCTGTATTATAAAACGGGTTTCGTAAAACCGTATTATAAAACAGTTTTAGCAACACCGTTTTATTTTATAAAATTAATTTTGACAAACAATATTTATGTTGAAAATATAAATTGGAAAAAAAAATATTACTAAAAAATGGTTTTATGAAAATCGTTTTTTATTAAGTCAAAATTAATTACACGTTTAGTGAAAACAGCTTTTGTAAAACCGTTTTTGTGTAAGGAAATTGTATTAATTTTTTCAAAAATGTCTAAGACGCCCTTTTTTTCCCACCCCCTTTGACCCTCTCTCTTTCTCATTGGTTGGATTTTCCTTTTTTTTTTTTGTTTCCCTTGTCCTCCAATCACCACCTGCCACATGTGTGTGGGGTGGTGGGGGTGGTGATTGGAGGGGGTCTCCGTCACTCCTCTAATTTTTTATTCACCAAAAAAGGGGTTTGATAAAACCCTTTTTTAGAAAATGTCATTGGTAAAACCGGTTTACCCGATAATCGGAATAAAGTGAAAAAGACACCCTAGGGGAGGAGGACTAAACTTTTTTTTGGTTACATCGGAAAGAAGGAGGACTAAACTTTTGAAAATGCCATAGTCGGGAAAAAAAATACCGGTTAACCGGTTGCCAGGTTTTCATTTTTCACAATCAAACAATTCAATGATCTTGATCATTTCTTTCTAATCCAAGGTTAATACTTAGGCTGCATATGCTGTGCAACCCTAAAAACACCACCCTTACCCAAAATATGAAATAGAAGGGTTGGATAGTGAGTGAGAGTCCGGATCCTCTAGTAGTAAAGCAACAGTGAAATACTCGTCTAGTTTTGAAATTCCATTTTCGCGCCTTTGCAGAATCGGAATTGAGAATTCCTTTGTTTGATTTCTTCTCATTTTTCCCAAGAAGAGAATTCAGAGGTTGGGTTCGGAGATCTATCTAGGGTTTCTTCTTCCTTGCTTTTTGTGCAGGTACTACTATCCCCCACTGTATGTATGTCCAAATTAGGGCTTTTTCTAAGATTCAATTGGTAGATTTTGATTTTTCTTAGATTGAATTTCCCCTCTAAAGCAATGCGTTTGCTAGTCTTTGATCGCAGATGGAGGCCCTTTACTCAAAGCTCTACGACAAGTACACCAAACTCAAGGTTTTCAGCTTTCTCTCTCCCTCACTATATATATATTTTGTACATGGTTTTCTCGTTTAGCAGCCCTAAATAGTTTCTCGGGAAAAAAATAAAAAGTTTTCGTGGAAGATTTAGCGGGGAGAAGAAAATTTTATGTTGTGGTGTAAAAGTCATTTTCTTGAAACAAGGAGGGCCTCATTTTCTACCTATTTGTGTCATCTTATTATTATTTATTTTGGTAAAACTAATTTGTGATATTATGCTTTTTTTAGACTGAAAAAGGGTCTAAAATAGACGAGTTCAACCGCGAGCAGGAAGCCAAATTTATGAACTATGTCTCTGGTATTTATTTCTCCATCTTATTCTTTTGGTTGTCTTTTTGATATTTCCTAGTTCTTATTAAAGTTCTGCATAAGTAAACTTGTATAAAGCAAAATTCATTTCTGTATATGTGTAGTGTGTGTGTTGAGTTGAGATATGTTTGATATATGGAATTGTTTCCAATTTCTAAAACTTGTGCCTACAATTTCCACATATGAAGAGTACAGTAAACACCATGGGCTTAGGAGGGATGTGACCTGAGGAAGCACTTGCTTCAAACTCTCCCTCTCTTGTATGACTTTGGGGTGGACAAGTAGCAAATCCAAATCTTCAGCATGAAAAATCAATTGGATCTTATGATACAGGGCTAGCTACTGAAGATGCAACCCATGAATTAAAATCTTCAAATCTCCTAGACTTGGCCTGCAAATCAGCTAAATAGAGTACCTGAGTTCTGTGGTTAGACAAAAATCATTGCAACTGGTTTGTTTGGCTGGAAAATTTTTTACCTAAAAATTTAGTTTCCCCAGTTGAATCAAGTTCGAATTGATGGAATTCATGCCTAATGTGGTGTATATACAATTAATTTGGTTTTAGAAAGTGGCATTATGACATGAATTTGGCAGGATAATGAGTTAATACTTAATATATGCAGAATATTGATATATAATTAAGTGGGAACAATATGTAATAAAATTTTAGTTTAGTGGCATACTGATCACTATTTTATCTTTTTATTGAAAATGGTTTTTCCATTCAGTTTGGGAGTTCTGTATCCTTTTAAAGTAAGGATACACTCTGTCTTGTAGGAAGTCCTTACCCTTGATGAAGGCCATCAGCATATTTGCTGAACATTCCTGGGAGTCAGTTTATGACCTCAAAAGCACCTACTGAAGCTTGTTTGATGGTTAAACAAACATGTCATTTATTGCGTGTTTTCAACGTGTCCACTTGATGTAAGGGGACACACTGTCTTATAGGAATTCTGTACTCTTTTTTTCCATATAGTGCAGTCAGTTTATGACTATAAAGACGCATATTAAAGTTTGATTCATGGTTTGCTGTCCTTGACTGAGGCTTGAATTTGATTAGCCCACTCTTTTATGGATTTTGAAATTTAATGGATTTTACACAAGGAAGTGAAAATCGTCATATGATTAACCAAGATTTTATGCAACCTAAATACCAGGAGTTTAGAAAATGGCATTTTAATTGCCACAATTCTCAATAGCTTGAAAGACTCAAAAACCAGTATTATTTCCATCTAGAAAAACACCAACGTATTATATCTTTTCCTGAGTGGTATTTTGATTTTGCCACCGTTATGGAACTACTTCCAGAACCAGAACTTGTAGCCTATTAGGATGTGAAGGAAGCCCTAGATAAGTGGACTATCCCAAATGTGAAACCAGCTACTATTTATAAAATTGGAACATTTGATTTTACCAGTAAGAAAATTATAAAACTTTTGAACATGCAGTACCTTTACAGAATAATGATGAAATCATTAAATTACTTTATATACAGGATCTGGCACTTTTTTTCAAAAAATATAAATATATCCATATAGGATTAGTCTAGATAGCCTTTAAACCCTTAACTTTGTAAGGGCAAAATACTTTGTCATTGCTGTATTCTTTAGTTGTCTGTACTTTTTTTTGGTAGTCAAATGGGACTTGGAATGAATGGTTTAAATATGTACTGTTATCAGTTCAGATCTGACTAAAGAAAATATGAATAAGGTTGCCCTTGGTCAGGATTAGGTTCAGTTGGATTTGGTAAGCAAATGGGAACAGAATATAAGCATTTTAAGTGCTTAATAATGTATTTTCTTTATTTGTTGTTGCAGCTGCGGAGGAATTGATAGAGCACTTAAGAAATGAAAATGGCAGGTTACATGGACAAATCAATGACTTGAGAAGTGAAGTGGCTTCAATCAGGTAAATATTTTGCTAGTGGGATTGGATTCAGTTTCAAAGAGATCCAGAACCATAAAATTATATGACGTGTAACTTTGGCTGCAGATATACAAAGGACAATCAACTTGCTGAGTATCAAAAGCTTTTAATGGAAGAGAGCCAGAAGAGTAAGACTACTTGATTGTTAAATGAATGTTATATTTTTACTCTTTTTTTTTAGAATATGAATAAGTAAATATATAAATAGAATGGTGTTTCCTTCTTTACTTGGTGGTTCATCTTGCATGTTTGCCATACGATGAAATTTGGGTGACCATGGCAATATATGCCAGAATCACTCCGTCCAGCCATTTTATTTCTGGTTGGGAGATACTTACACATATTTTATTTTGGAATAAAAATGTCAGACCTAGTGCAAAAAGACTCCCGCTTAGAGGAGTGCCTGGGAGAGGTAGTAGGTAGGCAACTTTTACCCCACTTTTCCGTGGAGAGGTTGTTTCCCTTGACTCTAACCCATGCCACAACGACAAAATGTGTTGAAAAATCAACACATTCTTAAGGCTATGTTAGAGATATGAATCTACTTAATTTGACTAATGAAATGGCCTTTGATAGGGCCGCGTGGAGAAGAAGGATTCATGTAGCCGACCCCATTTGATGGGACTTAAGGCTTCGTTTGGTTTGGTTTGGTTTGGTTCTCCTCATGGTGGGTGTGGGCAAAACTTTGGTATTTGTTCATTAATAACTAAGAGTTCAATAAGTCGGTTGAGATTATTTGTTCATCAACCACCTCTCTCAAGTATAAATGGCCAAGGATGGTCTTTGGTGTTGTTTGGTAAAGAGAGCCACCAAAGAGTCTGAAGGCAACAAAACCAACAACCCAAGTGTGGAGATGTATACGAAGTGTGAGATGTTCAGGTGCCTCGTTGTGTAGTAAAATCTGTGTGAGTGAATAAGTGAGGTATGCTCATGTTTGTGCTAAGTATGCTAGTTTAAGATGTGAATGACATGTGTCAGGCACTTGCAGTTGTGTAAACTTTTAGTTGTGGGTTGTCAATAAAAAATTTATATTTTTTATTCTGTTGCAGTGTATTCTTAATACAATGCTTTATTTTATTTTATTTATTCTTTGGGCTTAGAGTTTTAGACTTAGTGGAATTTATAAGAGTTTGAATAGTAGTTGAGTAATGTCGGCACACCATTCCAAATATGCATATGTCCATTATGACGTGTGTGTTCACCATTCTTTCATTAGGCCCGTGGAGTTTTTCTTTTTCCCCCTCTTAAATCCTTGAATTATTGAGACTGAACTACCTAAAGGCTAAATGACCTTGTTGGCCCTGTTACAAATTATGTACAAGCATCCACTTCATATGATTTATATGATTCATTCTATAGCCCACATAACTCAGTTGTTTATCTGGGAAATTTCATGGTTGGAACTCATTTCACTATAAATCAGTTATTGAACAAATAAATCTTTCATGGGTGAACTTCATTAATTACATGAATAGGTTATTTGCTGAAAGTCTAGGCGGTGATAGATTTTGATCCATCCTTAGTACAGTGGCTCAAATATATTTCAGGTACAAAGCTTTTAGAAGAAATTGAGGGGCTTAAGAACCTGCAACTTGAGGGACTTTGTTGCAGTGCAAGGGAAGACAAAATCGAAAATGAACAACTGCATATGTCTGGAAGCTTGCAAATTGGATCAGACATACTTAATGACTTCGATGTGAATGTCACAAGAAAACGCAGCAGAGATGATGGGACTACTGCAGAAGTTATGATGACTCCGTGTACCAGTGATCCACTTGAGTGTGCCCTGGTAAGCAAATCTGCGAGTGATATATTCACACAAATTGTGTCAAGTGGAACTGGTTTGAATATTGTTCAGGTATAGATGATAATCATACACATATCAGTTAACTCATTCATTTATCTTTTCTTTTTCTTGTTCTTTTCTTCTCTTTTCTGACTAACTTAATTTACAATATTTAGCCGGAGTGTTGTAGAAGAAAGATTGATCTCTCAGGTATGCATTCAGGGATATGAAATTTCTTTTATCCTCCTACTGGGCATTATTTTCATGTGACCATGTCTAACTGTTTGTTACAACTAGAATGTTTAGGTGGCATAAATCTCACTGGTGATGCAAACTGCATGTTTCAAGATCTTCTTGAGTGGTCACTTGGTATGAAATTATCGACTGCTACGCAAACTGAAGGAAAATGCATCTCAGCACTTCATCAATCAAGTGGTAATTCTTGATTCTGTATTTAAGTTTCTAACAGTTTTAAATAACGGTGGCTAATATTCCTTTTTTACTTTATTCTTTGGCACATTGATATATTTGTTTGAATTGGCATTTTGGCAATTCATCATTCCTTCAGATGTCAAAATTATTTTTAAAACCCAAGGCGTATTAGCCTATATTTTGGGTGGCTCTATACACCTCTCAAATTTGTTGTTGGACACCCCATTTCTTTGAGCACCCAATCCCAAATTCAAATTTTGTTCATTTTCTTTGAGCACTCCAATTAATATCAACTGTGCCCCTCGTCCACCCCAAACTCCCTCCACCTCCCGTGCTGCCACTACAGCCGCACCACCATCTCAGGCACCCCTAGCCCCCTCCCCTTCCCTCCCCACAGCTTGCCGCCACCTCCCATCCTGCCTTGCAGCCGCCTTTCCTTCGTTCTCCGTAGCTTGCTGCTGCCGTCCCCCTTCTATTCCCACTCTCTCAAACCCTAACCCTAAACCCCATCTCCCGAGTTGCGGTTGCTCTATTCTTTCTCAAATCACGTTGCAATCTCCTCACAGATCCAGTGGTCCTCCCCACCGGTAGTCATGACTGCCACACCCCCTTATAATCTCCCCAGGTCTGGTTTGTGGTCTACATCCAAACAACACCATTTGTTTAGTGGTCTAAATGCACCCACTTTTGGGGTGCAGTTTGGCCACCCAAAAAACTTTTTCCAACTAATGGCTGAATTTTTAGTAGAAATGAAATGACTACAAACGGTAGTTTGCAAGGTGAAATTTGTTAACTGTTGTAAGGTTGTGGTTATTATTACAGGTTACTCATTCAGTCTGACAAGGGTAAATAAAGGAGGTACAGAGGAAGAAGTGGAATTGGTGTATAGTGTGTTGTCGTTGGGTGCATTTGAGAGAGTGGCACCAGAGTGGATGAGAGAAGTCATAATGTTCAGTGTGAAGATGTGCCCTATCTTCTTTGAGAGGGTATCCCGGGTTATCAAGCTCAGTGGCGGACTTGCATAGGGACGGCCCCTCCCAAGTTTTTTTTAAGAAAAAATTAGATTTTTCTCGAGTTCAGGGCACAAAAAAGGTTGAATTTCTCTTGAGTTCAAATATGAAATTGAGATTCTCTATATTTCATGAATATTTGTAAAATGTGTAGAGGGATATAGCCTTTTAATTTTATGAAACCTTGAAGTGTTGACACCTAGTTCATTTGGATTGAGGGTTACTAATTAAAACAGTTAGATAAAACAAGAGATTGTTTAGCTTAGTTGTCATGTAAGCGTGATTTGGTTTCATCTACACCTTGACTTCATATAATAGAGTGATTTGGTTTCATATATACCTTGACTTTATATAATAGATTAGATTAGATTAGATGACTTTAGTAACTCTATTTTATTAGTATTTCAATGAGATGATGTCTAATTGTTTCACATGTTATTTAATAGCATTAATTTCATTGAAATATTACATCTTTTATTAAAAAATAAATAAATCAAAGAGGTATGCATATTTTTTATTTGCTAGATTGTTAATCAACAAAATAGTTTAAAAGGGTGGTCTAATCAATTATATAATCTAATTAGTAGATCAATATTATAAGAAAGAATAATAAATTGACTTAGATTTATTTTTTTTTCATTAAATACGTTTCTTACATAAAAAAGGATCTTTTGTTAATAATGTATCCAAGTCAACTCATAATTTTTTTTATGCATATCTTGGCCCTTTCAGACATTTTTTGTTTTTATTTCTATTTTACCTGTCTACTTTTGTCATCACTCCATTAGACCACCACTGTCTCTACCACCGTTGCTACTATCGCCACCTTCACCTCTACCTATGGCTTGCCGCCACTACCATCACCATCCAACCATAGCGAATACAAATATTACTAGTATGTTAATTTTAAAAACTTTACTAAGAAAAATATTTTTTAAAAGACGTTCTCTGAAAAATATGATTTTTTATTTTATGCCAAAACAAATCCAATGTAAAAAAGATTGCAATCTAAATTGAGGACTTCCATATGCGGATTGTCCAATTTTCACACTATATTTGTTTGGGGATTTTTTTTAGGATCATTGGTATTAAGATTTTATAGTATAAAGGATATTCAATATTTTTACAATGTTTAAGGTCTCTTAACATCGATCCAGAGAAATTTCATTCCCAAAGAAATTCTCTTCAGAGAAATTCTAGACTTTCCAAATAATTTCTCAAGGTTCAAACTAGAGAAAATTGAAATTTCTCTTAAGTACCAAAGAAATCCAGAGAAAATTTGTATGGCTTTGTGTGGCTCTATTTAGAGAAAATTGTGTTAGAGAAAATTTGTGTGGCTTTGTGTGGATCTATCCAAAGAAAATTGTGTAAAGAAAATTTTTGTCGATTTGTGTGGCTCTATCCAGAGAAAATTGTGCTAGAGAAAATTTGTGTGGCTCTATTCAGAGAAAATTGTGTTAGAGAAAATTTGTTTGGCTTTGAGTGGCTCTATCTAGAGAAAATTGTATAGAGAAAATTTGTGTTTTTGATCAAACCAGAGAAAATTGAACAAAAACAAAAAAACAGATAAGAGAATTTCTCTGGTTTAGGCATGGAAATACACCAATCAAGCTCATGAACATGAAGTCAGATTTTACTCACGATTGAATTTTTAGCAACAATTTTCTCTGTGTTTTCAAATATATCTGATTTGCTTACAAATTTATCTATGTTTTAACGAAATGATCTACTGCAATTCCAATTTACACAAACAATAAACATAGACCCAACCACATACATACATATATACAGATAAATCCAGTACCTTCTGGAGCTGATTGTAGCTAACATCGCCGCGATGCTTTGACCAAAATCCATGGGTAGAAATTGATCGATTCGAACAAGATAACGAGTACAATGACGACATACCATTACTAAATTGATCAAACTAGAATCCGAGTTCGATGTAAGCCTTGAGCTCGTTGAGGTCCTCGTCGGTGACGCTCTTGCTCCGCCGTCTGCATCTGTCTTTACGAGGCAACGGTAGGATGGTATTGTTGGAGCGGTGGTGGTGCTGTCGGAGATGAAGACCGAGAGAGGAGAAAAGAGCAGAGAGAGAGAGAGGGGGTTTGGTTTGGAGAGAGATAGAGAGAAATGAACTCACCTTAGAATGAAGATCGCAAAGAGAGAGAGAGAGAGAGAGAGAGAGAGTCAAATTTCTCTATGATATATGGGTGTGGGGTTGAGGGACTTTAGACGTCATAAAATAATATCGTAGATCTCTTTCATTACTAAAAATAGGAGAGAGATCTTAGACTAATTTTCCCTATTTGTTTTAGTAACTTCTTTTTTCTTTTTCTTTTTTTATAAATATCTTGTGGTCGTTCTCATCTCTCTTTCTTTGTCAAATCATGAACCTAATCACTTGTTAATCTTAAAATTCTTGTTGAGAGGGAATAAAAATCACCACAAGAACTATGTGAGTCCTGACACTATTACGTGGCACAGTTATAGATTATCACGTGTATGACAGTTGTCAAATCCTAATCAAACACTACATTAGTGATTTATATTGTGAAAAACTCATTAAGAGATATGATTTTATTGATATAGAAGTCTTAAACAGCTGGAGATTGTTTGAGAAAAGACTTTTGGAGCACTTAGATTACATGGCAGGGAAGACACTGAATTATTATAAATAGACTATACCCTCATGGGTTGAGGTACGTTGTTTTGATAAATGCAATTTGTCCATTAAATATTTTTATAATATTGAAGGACTAACTTGGGCGTCGGAGGACCCTAGTCGTTTAACTGTCGGGGGTGTTTTCTCTTGTAAATGGCGATCACGTGGTGGTTTTGATTATCTTATTCGTTGAATTTCTTCATCAAGTACCAAATTTTCTATGTCCTTATAATTAGCGCCGTTTGTGGGAAACAACAAAATTCAATTTCGAGCAATATAAATACATCAATCTATAATTATCACGAGCATGAATTTTTTATACCGGACTTAGCTAGAGACCATTACTTTGGTTAGATACGCCACCGGACTTGGCTGGAAATCATACTTTGGTCAAGTATGCTATCGGACTGAGATGGAGTCCAAGCTTCATGGATCACATGGGCAAGACGAATTGTGCTTCTCTTTGGTAATCATTGGATCTTGGGAGCAGGACGAATTGTGCTTTCCCTAGGCAATTTTTTGAGAAATCTAGTTTCATTCTCAATTTTTAGATTATGATTTTGACTTGTAGATTTCAATGTGGAATTATTTTAAGCCAAAACTGTGTTTTATGTCTTCTTGCAATTTTGTAGAATTGTTTATGATTTATGTTCTGTGAATTCTTTTTGTAGAGTGACCACAACATATTTATTGAACATTGTTAAAATATCATGAATTTTAGAGTTGTCTAAATAATTTAATTGTAATTTTATTTATGTAAACCTAATTCTGAAATTCTGGAAAATAAAATAGAAAAAGCCAAGATTGCAACTTCAACTATTTATGAAAAAAAAAATTTAATTTTTTTTACTAAGTGTTGTGCTAGTATATTTATCTTAATCTTGTACTATAGTAGTTTATGTATGTATGATATTTTTACTAGGGATGGTCATTTTCCTTTGCCTTGCTCCTCACTTGTATCCATTGCCTCGCTCCACCCTAATTTTCCTGCCCCGATTAAGAATTATGACAGGGACGGGTTTTGCTTCCCCTGCTCTGTTCGACCCAAATCCCGCCCCAATTATATTTATTAAATATAATTTTATATATAATTGTAAACACCTCATTTTTGACCATCCTCAAGACTTGGATGTCATCGTTTGAACACTCGATGATCATCCATGTTCGTGTTCGTCTTGAGTTCTCGGAGGTTTCGGTCGCGCACTTTGCCTCAAGACCTCTCGACTTGTTTGTTTTGTGCTTGGTTGTGCACCAAACACTTGTGTTTTTGCTTCTGAGGGCAGAGAATGGCTTGTTGGCCATCCCCACACCTCACTGGCCTTGGCTTGAGGCCACCAGCCCTATTTTCTTGCTACCGGCCAAATATTTTGGTCAGTCTGCAATTTTTTTGGTCGGCCGGCCATTTTTGTTGGTCAATTGGCCATATTTTCCAGCCGACCCCTTTCCATCTGCTTTTGGCAGATATTTTATGCCAGTTGTGACAGCTGGCATCCACATTACACCCCCTCCATACACGTGTATGGAGGGATTTGCCTCTTGCTTAGCTTGCTTAGGAAGCTTGGCATTTGAACCTTTATAAAGAGGGAGCTTCTCCTCCCTCCTTCAGGTTTTCAGAAAAATTAGGGTTAGAGAGTGAGATATAGTTTTGTATCTATACTCCCTTGTTTGATCCTATTTTGTGCCTTAAAGTAAGTTTTTGTCTTACTTTTGCACTTGAACACTTAGCATTACACCATCCTTGGGTTGTTGAGGCATTAGAGGGTTATTGTTAGGGTTCTTGAGTTGATTTTGATAAGAGAAAGGTACTGGAGTGGTGTTCTTGAAGAGGTTCTTCAAAGGTGAGAACCTACCTTCTTTATTCCCCATTTTTGCACAAGCTTTTAACCTATCTTGCTTATTGTTTTAAGCTTCGACTATAACTGATAAAAGTTCTGATTTTGTGTGTTTTAGAACTTTGTTTAAGGTCACTTTGAGGTTTGGGATTGTCTCCCCCCTCCAAGGCCTTGTTAGGCCTTGTTTTAGGCCATACCTTTTGGCCATTGCTTTGGTCTTTGCATGACTTCTCTACCACTGAAATCCAGACGATTTTTAGTGGTGGAGAGGTGGTTTTGAGGTCCTAAAAAGAAGAGGGTCATCCCCTCTCCTTGTTGTCTTTAATGCTTGCATAAATGGCTTATGTGGTAGCATGTGTGTTTAGTTTGTTTTAGCTCCATTTCAGTATGTATTAGGCTTTGTTTTGCCATGATACACCTCTGTTTTGAGTTGGTTCAGACATTCCATGTATGCTTCATGCACTTGTCTTGTAATCCCATGATTTGGCCTTAACATGCATTGTGTTGTAACATGTGTTTTTAGCATGATTTTGGCTCAACTCCATGAAGCTTCTAGCTTTGTTTTAACATGATAAAGCTCTGATTTTAGTTGTTTTAATCATCCATGTCTTGCTTTGTATAGCCACCATGTAATCTAGCTTGTAGGCTTTTGAGTTTTGAATCCTTGACATGCTCTATTTCGACCATTTCAGTGGTTTGGCACCACTTGTTATGCTATTTCAGTCCATATAGTATGCTCATATGTTTGCACTTGTAACTTCCTTAATGCTTTAAAGAGTTGATACGTTATGCCTCATGAATGTGTCATCATGTATGCCACCATGCTAAAAACCTGATATA